GACCAGATGAAGGAATCTGATGGTCAGGTTTTACTTGATCATCAGCGGTTTGTGGGTTTGTTCCAAAGGCATTTATTGCTTTCGTCTTCTGAGGCTGTACCGCGTACTGAAGCTCCAAATGATCAACCTTCGATGCCTCCTCCTTCTAAGGTTCTGTCCAATACTGAGGCTCCGAATGATCCCCCTTCGGTGTCTTCTCTTTCTGGGCCTCTACCGACTGCTGAGACTTCTCCTAAGCAACCTTTGTGAAGGCTTCCTCTTGTTTGTTTATTTTGACTCATGTATATGTACATATTTGTAACTTATCGGAGATATCAATAAATAAGTTTTGCTTCATTTCAACGTATTGTGTTAAATACATCAAAGCCTTCTTCACTGAGTGGGGTCGGCTATATGAATCTTAAAACGCCATTGTGCTCGGTCCTGTGTCATGTCCTCCGTTAGATCTAAATACTCTAAGTCTTTTCTTAGAGTCTCTTCCAAAGTTTTCCTAGGTCTTCCTCTACCCCTCCGGCCCTGAACCTCTTTCCCGCAGTCGCATCTTCTAACCGGAGTGTCAGTAGGCCTTCTTTGCACATGTCCAAACCACCGTAACCGATTTTCTCTCAATTTTCCTACAATTTCGGCTACTCCTACTTTACCTCGGATATCCTCATTCCTAATCTTATCCTTTCTCGTGTGCCCACACTTCCAACGAAGCATCCTCATCTCCGCTACACCCATTTTGTGTACGTGTTGATGCTTCACCGCCCAACATTTGTGCCATACAGCATCGCCGGCCTTATTGTTGTCCTATAAAATTTTTCCTTGAGCTTCAGTGGCATACGGTGGTCACACAACATGCCGGATGCACTCTTCCACTTCATCCATCCAGCTTGTATTCTATGGTTGAGATCTCCATCTAATTCTCCGTTCTTTTGCAAGATAGATCCTAAGTAGCGAAAACGATCGCTCTTTGGTATTTCCTGATCTCCAATCCTCACCCCTAACTCATTTTGGCCTCCATTTGCAGTGAACTTGCACTCCATATTTCTGTCTTTGATCGGCTTAGGCGAAGACCTTTAGATTCCAACACTTCTCTCCAAAGGTTAAGTTTCGCATTTACCCCTTCCTGAGTTTCATCTATCAACACTATATCGTCTGCGAAAAGCATACACCAAGGAATATCATCTTGAATATGTCCTGTTAACTCATCCATTACCAACGCAAAGGTAAGGACTTAAGGATGAGCCTTGATGTAATCCTACAGGTATGGGGAAGCTTTCGGTTTGTCCTTCATGAGTTCTTACGGCAGTCTTTGCTCCTTCATACATATCTTTTATAGCTTGGATATATGCCACTCGTACTCCTTTCTTCTCTAAAATCCTCCAAAGAATGTCTCTTGGGACCCTATCATACGCTTTTTCCAAATCTATAAAGACCATGTGTAAATCCTTTTTCCCATCTCTATATCTTTCCATCAATCTTCGTAAGAGATAGATTGCCTTCATGGTTGAGCGCCCTGGCATGAACCCGAATTGGTTGTCCGAAACCCGTGTCTCTTGCCTCAATCTATGCTCAATGACTCTCTCCCAGAGCTTCATTGTATGGCTCATTAGCTTAATACCCTATAGTTCATGCAATTTTGTACGTCGCCCTTATTCTTGTAGATAGGCACCAAAGTGCTCTTTCGCCACTCAGTTGGCATCTTCTTCGTTTTCAAAATCCTATTGAAAAGGTCAGTGAGCTATGCTATACCTGTCTCTCCCAAGACTTTCCACACTTCGATCGGTATATCGTCTGGGCCCACTGTTTTTCTATGCTTCATCTTCTTCAAAGCTACAACCACTTCTTCCTTCCTGATTCGACGATAAAATGAGTAGTTTCTACACTCTTCTGAGTTACTCAACTCCCCTAAAGAAGTACTCCTTTCATGTCCTTCATTAAAAAGATTATGAAAATAACCTCTCCATCTGTCTTTGACCGCATTCTCTGTAGCAAGAACCTTTCCATCCTCATCCTTGATGCACCTCACTTGGTTTAGGTCCCTTGTCTTCTTTTCCCTTGCTCTAGCTAGTTTATAGATATCCAACTCTCCTTCTTTGGTATCTAGTCGCTTATACATGTCGTCATAAGCCGCTAACTTAGCTTCTCTCACAGCTTTCTTCGCCTCTTGCTTCGCTCTTCTATACCTTTCACCATTTTCATCGATCCTGTCCTTGTATAAGGCTTTACAACATTCCTTCTTAGCCTTCACCTTTGTTTGTACCTCCTCATTCCACCACCAAGATTCCTTTTGGTGTGGGGCAAAGCCCTTGGACTCTCTGAAGTGATGATTTGAAATGTTATCGATTTGTTTTCATTATCTCTTGTCAATAGTTATTTGTTTCGCATACAATCTAGAACATATTGGTTAAAACCTATGTACAACATAATGTGGGGTTGAGTGCAGCTATCCATGTTTTGTTCTAAACCAACATGCTCTAGTTGATGAGAGATACTCTTTTGTCATCAATTCACCACATGTTAAGCTCATGTAAAACGGATATAGTTCACTTTCTGAACACACGGCAAACCTTGATTGGATGAATGACCCCACTGGACTATGAATGGGGTGCATAGATATTCTCTCATAATTGAGAGTCAATACAAACCCACTAACTTCTGATCCAGTCGTATAAAAAATTGTCAACTAAGTATAAGCACTAAAACTGCAGGCATCAAACCCCAACAAATACATAAAGAACTACAAGTGACTTGATCCCTCAACGAGGGTACGTAGGCAATCTAAGGCTCGACCTTGGTGCAGTCGCAAAATCAAACACCCAAATCCCCAAGTTACGATTTATTCATATTGGAATCGAAGGGTTTTTCCTTTTAACGAAGGATTGTAATTAATAGACGCATAGTCTAGAATAAGTTGAACTCAAATTAATAAAACCCTCTTTGGAAAAATGAATGAGGGTGAAATTATGTCGAGGTGAATTATTTTTTACATATTGTGTACAATTTTTGCTCAACACCCCATATAATCGAAACTTTCATGAACCTCATCATATGGTGTGAAAAAATTGTCATCAACCTCACTATAGGTACCTCCTGTTGTTCAGGAGCAAGACCTGCCATATCTGTAGGCGTATCTGTACAATGACTGATCTGATCTGTTAAAGTAGCTAAAAACAAACTAGAACTGGGTTTTTGAGGAACTATTGAGGTCATATATTTTCATGTTCGAATTGCTTAATTGTGAGGATGTGATGAATGTCCCATTTCGGAAAGTTAAGAAAGCTGACATGAACCTAATTATAAGAAATTTGGACCGCTCCCCCATTTAGTATTTGGTTTTCGAGTTGAACTTCAACTTCCTTCATTGCTCAATAAAACCCTAAAAAAATTAGAAAATTAATATTTATTATAGTTTTTTACCGGGTTCCTTTTCGTTTACTCCTTAGCCACACCACTGCCTCCGAACGCCAAGAGCTTCGTGTCTCCATGCTCCACAAATATCCACACGAGCAGAGCCATGCCGACAAGAGCCACGGCTGCAGTCGCTGAGGCCAAGGCACTGAACCCCAGCAAGCCCACAAGTGACCCTCCGACTGCTAAGCCAGTAAAGAATGCCATCAGCATTTGCCTATCACGACCCTCCATGGACTACTGTCTGGTTTACTTTCTTATTTTTTATGGGTGGATTGAACCTTTTCCTTCTTATACATCAAATGACCCTTTTGGTTACTTGATAACCAAGTAATGAACGAAGGACATACGTAGTTTTTGCCTTTTGGTTACCAAAAAAGACCGACTTAATGAGTTTTGAAAGTTCTTCAGAATGTTGACTCTTTTGGCTTAAATTTGTAGCCATCTGACTTGATTGTGGCTCTGATAAGGCCTCGTCACATAAGCATATAATGGGGTTGTTTTTAGCCATGCCTTTCGTTGGCTTTTCAAACACGATAAGAGTTTGTGTAGGGTGTTCTAATATATTATTTGTACCTGTTACAAAGCAGTGAACCTTATGTATTTTAATCACATCCGACCTCACATGCTCTTACCCTACTCAGACAACCTTACCGAATATCTAGCAAACAAACTGCATATTTTGGGTTATCGATTTGTTTTCATTATCTCTTGTCAATAGTTATTTGTTTCGCATACAATCTAGAACATATCGGTTAAAACCTATGTACAACCTAATGTGGGGTTGAGTGCAGTTTTAGTATCCATGGTTTGGTCTAAACCAACATGCTCTAGTTGATGAGAGATACTCTTTTGTCACCAATTCACCACATGTTAAGCTCATGTGAAACGGATACAGTTCTGAACACGCGGCAAACCTTGATTGGATGAATGACCCCACTGGACTATGAATGGGGTGCATAGATATTCTCTCATAATTGAGGGTCAACACAAACCCACTAACTTCTGATCCAGTCTTATGAAAAATCGTCAACCAAGTATAAGCACTATAATATTCTCAAGGAATAGACAAATTAATTAACACAAACCAACTTAAGATATATTGGCTGGTAGAGTCACACAACACAAGAGACCCTAGAACAATTAATTGCTTCGAATCCTTCTGATATCAAAATGAATATTCTTTTACTCGGGTAGGAAATTGAATACCAAATGCTCAGAGGAAATCATCAAAATTTGCTGGCAGCTCCTCTGAATGTCAAAAAGCATTTTCTCCCCATCTCTAGCCACGAAGTTGATGGCAGCACCTCTTTTTCCAAAATTTCCGCTTCGTCCTATACGATGAAGGTAGTTTTCTGGTTGATCGGCCGGCAAATCATAATCTACTACAACAAACGCTTGCTGGACCTCAAGATGACGAGCATATTGATCGGTGGTAATGAGGATGCGGCAAGAGCATCTGCGAAATTCGCGCATAACAGTCGCGAGTTTTCTGGTTCATGCCATGATGGATAGCAGAGATAGCTTGGAAGTTTCACATATGGTGAGCAATATACTTTTTCACTTTCTGGCATCATGTTAGACTACTTGGCAAAAAGATATCCCTAGAAACGAACCTTGTGAGTAAAAGTTCCGGTAAGCATATCATCAGCCTGATCCAGTACAATCATCTTAATATCTTTGGGGTCAAGTGTCTTCCTTCGCAACATGTCAAATATGCGATCAGGAGTGCCAACAACATGAACACCGGCTTCAAGAATGAATTTACCCTCACGATAAGTTCTGCCACTTACACCAGCGTAAACCTTCGCACCTAGGTCTCAGAAAGTTGCTCTCATAACGTTTCTCAGTCTCCCCTGCCAAGGCCTGGGTAGGTGCAGAACCGAGGCCTGGCACTCAACCGAACTATCAAGATCAAGTTGCTGCACAATTCCATAGCTGAAAGTTATCGTTTTCCCAGTTCCAGGTGGAGCCTGTTGAATCACATCAAGGCCTTGGCTGAAAGGAACAATGCCCCTTTGCTGACTTGCAGACGGCTTCCCAAAACCTTTTGAACAAAAACAAAACAAAATTACCATACAAACACATTAATGGCTTAGTCATTGTATTAAATACAGCAAACCAACCTACCATAAGCATAACTGGTCGTCTTAAGATTGCCTCGCAATCCGATGCTTTCAAAATCATCATAGACCTCATCAAATGATGGATAGAACTCGTGTCCTTGTGGAGCAAGCTCTGTCATATGACTCATATCTGTAGGCAGGAAACCATGAGTAATGATTGATCGGCATTCAAAAGGCTACCCCGAATGGGAAATTCGACATAATTTCAAATATAAAATCATTGTAGTCCATCAAAGAGGCATGCTAATAACTAGCATGAGAAAAAAAAAACGAAAACAAAATAAACCGGCCGCTAATTGGTTGCTAAGAAAACTAAGGAAACTTGATTTTATATCTGTTTCAAATCACTTCCAAGACGCGGAAACAAAATCCAAATTGATTTAGAGTTTATCATAGTTAAACTTATTAACCATGAACAATATGCAAGCACATTAAATGACTTTGCTAAGCACTAGCTAGATGGGACTTGGGACACTCCCTTGTTCATTGTTCACTATCTCCGTCCCAGTCTGAGTCTCATCGGAGTCTCAATCTCAGACTGGATCTCAGTATGAGTCTCTTCCTTAGTTTCATTCTGGGTCTGAGTCTTAGACCACCACTACCCCCACAGATACCGAGACCGAGACTCGGCCACACCAGTGACACCACCACTGTCAACCCACAAAAGGCATGTGCCGCCATGCTCTTGAAAAACTGATACCATGCAAGTGACAGCCGAGGCCACAGCCGAAGCAAACCCAGCAATTGCTGCAACAAACACAAAGCCAGCAAAAAGTAGCAAGGGGGATGACGGTCAGAAAAAAGAGTGCCGCTGAGGGAAGGGCCAAACCAAACCCAGCTACCGCTCCCCACAAACACAAGGCCAGTGAAAACAAGCCAGGCGATATTTGGCACTCAGTGAAACTAGTGTTACCCAGGCCAAGAAGATGAATCCCATCACGCCCACAAGTGACAACCTCCTGTTCTAGACGAGAAGATTCGGAACCGTCCATTGATTACTGTTGTGTGGTGTACTCTAATCTCCTTGCCGTCGCTAATTAGAAACTAAATTGGGAGATTTCAGATAGAACTTTGTATGCTTCTTGTTTTTTTTCCTTTCAGTAAAAACTACGGTATTTCGTTTGGGAGGATTGAGCCTTCTGGTTACTTGATAAACAAGCAATGGTAAGTTTGGAATCGGAAAACCGACTCAAGTTTTCCAAACTTTTATGATAAAAAATTGTGTCATTTGATAAATAAAAAAGTTCCTTATGACATCAGCAAAATTTGGACGAGTTATAACGCAAGAAGTAATGCTAGGTAAACTAAATTTGTAGATAAAATTTACTAAATAAATGATGTGTCGCTAATAAAAAAATAAGCACGTTAATCAAAACTTAAGTAATAATTCTATCATCAACTTCTATGTCATTTGGTTTATAAAATTTAGTCTACATATTTAGTCTTTCTTACGGAAGAGGGTTGGCAGGAATGAATTGAAACAGCATGGAGTGCTTAATGTAATTTGTAAATCCTGCGGGGTTTGTAAAAATACAATAAAAGTCTGGAGAAAAATCCGTTTCAACATCAAAAATACGGCAAATAGCAACATGACAAGGAGAAAAACTTGCAAGAACTCTCGACAGTAAAAGTCTTTCATGATATATCGAAACCGAGCAAGAAGGCGCATACCATTGAACAGTTAGATATGTTTGACAGCATAAATTGAGGACAAAACAAAATGAAAAGCAGCAGCATTAAACAGTACTTTCAAAACAGGATAATAAAAATCTGCCTCAAAAAGATAAGCGGGGGAACAAAATGCGCGAGTTCTTCAGAGAAGATCGGCCACATTCGATGGGAGCTCCTCAATCACCACGTTGTAAAACCTCTGGATGTCATAGAGCATTCTCTCGTCGTCTTTTGTCACAAAGTTAATAGCAACACCCTTCCTTCCAAATCTACCACTTCGTCCAATACGATGAAGGTAGTTTTCAGGTTGAGTCGGCAAATCATAGTTGATTACGAGAGATACCTGCTGCACATCAATACCACGAGCCAAGAGATCAGTGGTGATGAGAACACGGGATGAGCCTGATCGGAATTCACGCATGATGATATCACGAGTGTTCTGGTCCATGTCACCATGGGTGGCAGAGACAGTGTGGTCACGGCTTCTCATCTTGTCGGTAAGCCAGTCCACCTTGCGCCTGGTGTTAACAAAAATGACACTCTGGGTGATGGCCAGAGTCTCATACAAATCACAAAGGGTCTCGAGCTTCCATTCTTCTTTATCGACATTGACATAGAACTGCTTGATACCCTCAAGGGTGAGCTCATCACGCTTTACCAAAATCCTCACAGGTTTGTTCATAAACTTTCTAGTGATTTCAAGGGCTTCAGGTGGCATGGTAGCAGAGAACACCCCAACCTGAACCTTTGATGGCAAAAGCTGGAAAATGTCGTAGATCTGACCACCAAAACATCAAATATAATTAGGAATACATTGAAAACAAAACATTAATAGTGAGCTGAAGAAACACAACACCTTAATACAAATAACAAACCTGATCCTTAAAACCACGAGAAAGCATTTCATCAGCCTCATCCAATACAAACATCTTAATGTAATCTGGGCGAAGCGACTGCCTCCTCAACATGTCAAACACACGACCAGGGGTTCCAACAACAACATGAACACCAGCTTGAAGAATGCGCTGATCCTCACGAACACTTGTCCCACCAACACAAGCATGAACCTTAACGCCAAGGTAGTCACCAAGTGCTCGCATAACCTTCTCAATCTGCTGTGCCAACTCCCTGGTAGGAGCCAAAACCAAGGCCTGGCACTGGACAACACCATAATCAAGTTGCTGCAAAATCCCTGAGCAAAAGGTTGCTGTTTTCCCGGTTCCAGACTGAGCCTGTTGAATCACATCAAGGCCTTTGCAGAATGGAACAATTCCCCTTTGCTGAATTGCAGAAGGCTTCTCAAAACCTTCAGAATAAAAACAAAATTATACACAGAGGCCTTTAAAGATGAATATAAGTATAACATACTTTAACAACATTGCAAAAGGAGAAATCAAAATTAAGAAATTGAACATGCATTCCTGCAGGGGTGCATCCTACCAAACAAAAAGACAACTAAATAATGAATACAGTTGTACCTACCATAAGCATAAATGCCTCTCAGCAGATTTTCCTGCAATCCCATGGCATCAAAACTTTCAAAAACTTCATCATACGATGTGAAGAAATCTTGCCCATCAGTTGAGAGCCTATAAAAGTTGTCAAAACATTAATGGTGACATCAAATCATAAGATGATAAATTATCTTCCCCAAACAAACTTAACAAATAACTATGAAAATAAATACCAAGCAAGACACTCACAGCTCACTCATCTTAGTATCATACTGTTTTGCATCAAATTGTGATCCCTCGGGTGCAACACCTGCCATGACTGCAGAAAGAATTTCATTTAAAAAGTTATGGATCATAAAACCCAAAACAAATACAGTGTTTTTGACGTGGGATTCATGAGCATATAAACAAACACGAGACAGTTCATACGCACATAAATCTCTCCACAATATATATATATGAAATTCAAAGGCTTGCCAAAGATGGCTTGAAAGGAAATTTATACAAAAATATAACAGAAGAGCCAAACTTGTTAACCAAACAAAAAGGCAAACAAGCATTAACTCCTGTTTTAGTTTTCGGAGAAGCGTTTTAAAAAGGGTTTAGGATGTCCATTTGCTATCCAGAGAATGAACCCACAAGAAAACAGACACCTCTTTGCCCAACTCCCCAAACAGTCAAAGATGACTTGAATGAATATTTACACAAAATAATATAACAGAAAAGCCAAACATGTCAACCAAGCAAAAAGGCGAACAAGCATTAACTTCTGTTTTAGTTTTCGGAGAAGCATTTTAAAAAGGGTGGATGTCCATTTGCTATCCAGAGAATGAACCCACAAGAAAACAGACACCTCTTTGCCCAACTCCCCCAAAGGTCAAAGATGACTTGAAAGAACAGTTATACAAAATAATATAACAGAAGAGCCAAACTTGTTAACCAAACAAAAAGGCGAACAAGCATTAACCCCTGTTTTAGTTTTCGGAGAAATGTTTTAAAAAGGGTGGGTGTCCATTTGCTATCCAGAGAATGAACCCACAAGAAAACAGACACCTCTTTGCCCTACTCCCCCAAAGGTCAAAGATGACCTGAAAGAACACTTATACAAAATAATATAACAGAAGAGCCAAACCTGATAACCAAACAAAAAGGCGAACAAGCATTAACTCCCGTTTTAGTTTTCGGAGAAGTGTTTTAGAAAGGGCGGATGTCCATTTTCTATCCAGAGAATGATCCCAAAAGAAAACAGACACCTCTTTGCCCAACTCCCCAAAAAGGGCATATAACTTCCATACCAAACATTTACTTTGACAAAAGGTAACACATAACACAACACTTCATCTCTAAGAGTAACCGGATAAAATTCCGTTTTACAGTAGCAAGTAAATCAACTTTCACAAACAAATTTGATATTACAATACAACAATTTAGATGTAAGAACAGAAAAAACAAAGTTAACCCCAAAACCATAGACAACATAATTTTCACCAGAAACACAAAAAGTAACCACAGATACGTCAATAAAAAGGATAAACTGTAATTACACTAACTAGCGTAACAAAAACTAATCACTCGATGATGGGTTGCTAAGAAAACAGATGAATCCCCAACTTACATGTTCGAATTGGCCCCAAACACGTAAAAATCATATAAAACGTTAAAAAGTTACTATCTTTACATCATATTTCCCACTACTTTCTCGGAAAACAAACAGACAGCCATTGAAATCCATCCGTAACAAAAACCATAACTTGCAAACAAATCAAGCAGATGGATCCAGATCCAAAACACGATTAAAACCCACAAATCGATCACCAAAACAAATACTTTCACCAATAAAATCAATCAAATTAACAACTTTACAATCAGATATATAGATACACAACAATATGTATAAACATATGAGAGAGATAGAGAGAGAAAGAGAGACGTAGAGAGAGAGACCTGATGATGTTGATGAGCGCTAGAGAGAGAAGTAGAGGACAATTGGAGGTTGCTAAAAGAGAGCTAGGGTTTCCCAAACTCCTCGGATCTGCGCCGTGGAGTTTGAAAGTAGGCGAGTGTTGAAAAGAGGCTGAGTTTACCCACTCACTCTGTTATAGGTTTTAGGTTTTGGTGTTTCCCACTTTAAAATTCCGGATGTGCCCTTGGGCTTCTCCTCTTATCACCAACTCCCGGGGGACCGTTTCGTCACTTGAGAAAATTTCTGTCCAACAAGTAAAAGAAAACAGTGCAACTAGTTTACCACTTAAATTCTTTTTTCTATTTTTTTTTTTAATCACGAAATTATTATTCCAGTAGAAATTAGCACAATTCATTTATTTTGTAACGCGTGTTTGTTTTATTTTACCTAATAATATTTATTAATCATTAACACGTGTTATAACAAGTGAATTGATAATGTGTTTTTCGTGTATGATATATTGTAAGGGATGAACTTTGTTGGGACGGTTGCACACCTCACACTCAGAAAAACTTGTGTAGGGCTTAGCTTGCCATTGGATTTTACTGAATGACACTACAATCCAATCAAAATTCACCACATGGTAAGTCTAAGTATAATCTTTATTTTTTATATTTAAAGCTCTTATAATTTTTTTCTTACTAATTAATATACACCATGAGAATAATTTAGTGGTTTTTTTTTTCCTCTTCTCCTCTCCCTCTTTTTTCTTCCCAAATTTTCTCTACCGTCTTCTTCCCCACTCTTTGTCTTTCCTTTCTTCATATGAATATGGAAAAAAAACAATTAAATCATCTTCTCCCACTATCATGAAATGGAAAAAAAAAATCCAACACATATTTCATATTTTACAAAATGTGTATTTTTACAAGAGTTGTTCGTTCATTTAAAATTTAATTATATACTTTTAACAATATTATAAATAATAATGAACATTTTGATATTTTAAACCCAAAACTTACTAAAGTGATTAAGATTGTAAATGTTGGAAACCCAGTGACCAAAACCGACTGTTGATACAAGGTGAGTTACGCCTTGTTTGGTACGCCGTATATAGCATCGGATAGGACTATTAATACGGAGCCGAGTATTTGGCATCCTTTCATATTAAATTGGACCGGATCGGGTCCCTTTCTTCTCTCTCGCGCGAAATGAGCGCTCTCTCTCTCTCGTCTTCCCTCGCCATCCCCGCTGTTCTCTCCGTCTCCTTCTCTCGCCGGCTATGTTCTCCCCATCTCCTCCGGCAAACTTTGTTCTCCCCGTCTCCTCTCGCCGGCTCTATCCTTCCTCACCTTCGTTATCTGATAATTGGAGACGTGAGAGACCACTGGCACCACCACGGCACAAATTCGAAAAGATTCATCTGGGTTTTAGAACCTTGACTGGGAATCGATGATAGGATTTGAAAATTCAGAAAGATTCCATCTGGGTTTTATTTGATTCGGAAAGATTTCTTCTGGTTTTAAGATTTCATCTGGGTTTCTAATTTCTTTAATTTCTGGGTTTTTAATTTCTTTAATTACTGGGTTTTAAAGATTTCATCTGCTTGAGGGTGTATTTCAAACCTCTTTGGGCCAAGAACAAGTAAGGAGAAGGGAGTGAGGTTGTTTGTGGGGCACGGTGCGGCGGAAAAATCTGGGGAAGAGATAGATTTCATTTTTTTTTTTTGTTTAGTAATTTGATTTAAACAGGGAACAGATAGATTTCATTAAACAACCAAAGATTTGTCTTTTTTTTTTCCTTGTCCTATCCGGTTCAATACCAAACACCGTATAAATAATACGATCATTAGTCTGATACTGCATCAAACGCTCAACTAATTTAGTCAGTACTATCCGGTGGCTATTTATCCTATCCGACAGAAACAGTCAGTACAGTCCGAGCTGCCAAACGAAACCTTAGAATCACATACCTGAAGAAAACTATATTTTTATATATACATTCAGGTAGGTGAAAAGTTAAAAAGGAAAAATAGATTTTAAAAAATATTACACAACAAAGGAAAAAGGAACAAACTTCCATATCCATTTTCCTTTTTCCCAGCAATTGAAAGGACTTGGGAAGAAAATTTTAATGGCTTAATTTTTTTTTTATCATATTCTTATGAAGAAAGGAAAGGAAGACACGAGTGGGAAAAAAAACATTAGATTAATCTCATGGTGTGTATTAATTAATAGAAAAAATTATTATGAGAGCTTTAAATTAAAAAAGTAATAAAAGTTATATATTGTAGAAAATAAAAGTTTTATATTGTAGAATTGTCATGCGGTGAGTTTTGATTGGATTGCAGTGCCACTCAGCAAAATCCAGTGACAAGACAAGCCCCACACAAGTTTTTCTCCTCTTGCAGAAGGCCTGATTGACAAGAGATATAAACACATATCATTAATATTATGTACAGTGTATTCAATTGGGATTATGGAAGATTTTTAATTCTTTTAATAAATCTAAAAGTATTCAATTAAGATTTTAAGTGATTATCTGAAATTTAATGGGTATCCAATTAGGATTTTTAAATAGTTTATTAAAATCCTTAAAACGAGAGTGTCTTCAATTAGGATCTTAAACAAGTTTATAACATTGCAAATGTATTCAATTAGAAATTTGTTTAAAGAATTTTTTTTTTTTTTAAGTTAATGAATTTGAGAGATTTATTTTAAGCATTCACAAATCTCACCTCTCCCTCGAGATTAAAAAAAAGTTGATGAATTTGAGAGATTTATTTTAAGCATTCACAAATCTCACCTCTCCCTCGAGATTTTGAGAGAATTAAATCAAAATTTTACATGAAATCTCTATAAATCAATCATCAAAATCAATGGATTCATAAATCCATTAAAATCCCTCAAAATCTCAATTGAATACACCCTTTAATGTATAATATCAAGCCATCATTCTCAAAATCCCCTTGTATATGTGAGCATTTATGCATAATGACACGCTATAGATCCCTCCGAAATGCCACGCAGGAATAGGTATTTCGGTTGAAAAATACTCAAATTGTCTTTTTGTAACAGTTATTACTGACGTGGCTTTTTTGGACTCCTTCTTCTTCTTTTTTTAGTACATCTATATTTTTACACTAAATAAAAGAAAAGTTCGATTAAATCATAAAATATGCAACCTAATTTAGACTCCTTGAAGATGCTCTAATATACCATTCAAGTGAACGTCATTATAATACAAGATGAAAAGCCAAATATACATCACACCACAAGTGGAGTTTGAAAACAATTATCCAATGTGGAAGGTAGCCTTTTTGTAGCCAAAAGTAAGTGGAAATAGGAAAAGCCGGTGGCATTTTGGTGTCTTTTTGACCACTGCAGGCTGCAGCCCAACTTCTTTATATGTCCAGCCAAAATTCTGGTGTCATGCCAGCATCAAACCACCTCAACTCCCATGTCAATTTCCTTCTCCACTAAGGTAAGGTTTGGTACTGTTTAAATTATTTTAAAAGCAGAGATGAAAAAACAGTTGGAATAAAATTTGTATTTGGTAATTCTACTTATTTTCAAAGTCACGGGTCATTTTAAGTTGAAAAGTGGAAAAAAGCAGAAGCAGCAAAATGCGGTGAACAGTAGAATTTAATGAAACTTTCACACTCTCAAAAACACCCTCCTCCGTTTCTCCTTCTTGCTGGGTTAAAGATCGAATCTTCATCGTTGATATTCTATTTCGCCAAATTTCAATTTCGAAATCGAAATCCCATTGGAGTATTTTTCAACTCGTCGTCGCATCGCAGACCAAAGAAACAAATCCAAAACCCTGCTGTCACAAACCATCAAGTGTTCAATCCAAGATGCACAATTTTACACAATAGATCTTCATAGCAAGCTCCTTCTGCAACTCTAAGAGGAAGGTGGATCGGAAAGTAAAGGGGAAAGTAGTGGATGGCAAAGGAGATGGGTGGTTTGTGAGAGCTTGCAGACGCCATGGATGGCAAAGGAGGTGAAATTGGGAAACTAGTGGTAGTGGAAGTTATATAATTAGGGAAAAAAAAGGTAGCAATCCTAGTCTCAGAAATCGGAAAGTCGATCTTGTCGATGATCTTGA